ACCGGCCATTTTTTGCAATAGTAAATAAAACAAAACACCAAGTCCACACTTACACCGAAACGATTATCAATGATGATTGAAAAAAAAAAAATACATTTAAAAATCTAACAAAAAAACTATATTATGCGTACAAGGTAATTTTAGTAAGGAAAAACTGCTGCTGCAAGTCATCCGTGGATGAAAACTTATTAAAATTAGAATACTTACTATTCAAATGTTACCAACACAACGATATTTTACAACAATAATTGAATGCTACCACCCATCTGTAATAAATGCCAAGAAGACCTAACCATCCAACACATCATCCTAGACTGCCCAGACCTACAAAACATCCGAAGTACTTTATCAATACCCAACAACTTAGAAGGAGCTCTCCACGAAGACAACACCATAAAATTTTTAATTTCCTTACAAAAATTAACATTGTAAACAATATCTAATCAACACTTTTGTATTTCATTATTCTTATTTAAAAAATATTGTAACCTTTGATATTTAATTATTAATGTAACTTACACAAAACATGTGCACAATGGCTAATAACCTCAGATGTTGAAGCCTCTTAAATATAAAAAAAAAAAAAAAAATTGAATGCTTCTAACCCAAGAAGTATCTATACAAAATTGATCACCCTGTATTAAGTAAATACATAATGTATACATTGATAAAAAATGAAAAGCATTCCTATTGTTATATTAAAAAAAAAAAACCATGTAAAATATTTACTCTTGTGCTAAACAAGCACCTATTAAAAATGCTTAATTACCAAATGAACGGACAGAGTAGCTGTGATAGATAGCCCTTATACGTTTGTTTTGTAATAATATATCACCTTTAGATGGATATATAGGTACCTAGATTAAAGATAGACCCAAAGGCGAACACTGAATAACCAGTACGTTGAAGCGACTCAAATCTTGGCCAAGTCTACGATTAAACACTAATTCTTGTTTTTTGAAACAGAAAGTATTTCTTTTTTTTGGAATTTCATTATTTTGCATTGTTCTAAAAAGAAATCAAATTTCAATTGGTGCGCCCTACGAGTGCGTTCCAGCCGAACAATGACTTTTTAAAATATTTTTTTTACTTTTGGGCTTTCTAAAAATAGCACCCCGGTTTTTACACATAGTTCTCGGTGAACAACAACGACAGTCGGTATCTATGAATTTTTTTTTTTTTTTGAACACTTTAGATAGACGGTTATTGCTTGGATGTCGACATGTCGGGGTGGCCGAGCGGTCTAAGGCGGCTAGGTGATGATGGGAAACGTGTGGTACACGTGAAATCCGTACGGTCAATAGCGCCAGTGTTAGATTAGGATGTGTTTGGATCACTCCCCGTTTCGGTCATCTCGGATGGATATTTTTTGCATTTTTTTTTTTCAACATTTAATATCAACATCAATTATAATATAGACAAGAACGAAATTTAATAATACAGTTTTTATTGCCTATATTAATCCCCTTAAAAATATTGAAATCTTGTTGCTGAAGAGTTCTGTTTACTTGCTTATTGATGATTTGACGTTTTAATTATTATACATTCGAGATGGACCCCCCCCCCCCCCCTAAGATGGTCTATTAGTTTTTCAATTTTTTTTTTTTTTAATGTTTTTTTAAATCATAACCGTTCGTTTAATTTATCGATGACTCAAATTGCTCAATCTTTTACTCGATTTAATTACATAATTTGTTAACTCGTTTATTTGATTTGTTTACTCGACTTGTTAAGTAGAGACTTGTTTACTCGATTTATTATTTACACAATTGGTGTTCACTTTTACTAATTTTACTCAGTTTGTCAATTCGAATATTTAATTATACACTATATTTACTCGTTATCCGTTTGCTCTATTATTTTACTCGATTTGTTTACTCGTCTACTCGACATGGTAGCTGTTTATTCGATTTATTATTCACTCAAACGGTTCAGTCTTTTACTCGATTTATTTACTTGATTCGTCAAATCATTTAGTTTAGGTATTTATATACTCGTTCACTAGTTCGCTCGACTTGATAACCGTTTATTTGATTTATTGTTTACTCAAATTGCTCAATGTTTTACTCGAGTTGATTATATGGTTTTTCAACTCATACATTTGATTTATTTGCTCAGTTTTTCAATTAGTATATTTGATTTATATACCCGTTTACTTGATTCGGCTACTCGTTATCCGTTTACTCAATTATTTTACTCGGTGTGTTTAGTCGATTTTTTTGCTACACTAATTTATTCGTTCACTAGATTTGTTTGCTCGCTTACTCGCTAACAATAGTAAACGTTTGAACCGTGTTAATATTAGAATTGGGCGTGTCCCATAAAAACATATTCATCATTTATAATATGTTTTTCCTCAAAGAGGAGTGAATTGTTTTTAGTAAATTTTTGTCATAACATGTTTTCGTCGACAAACAATTATTATAAAATATTAAACATTTCAATTTTCTATTGTTATATTGTTAAATTATTTGTCAAATATATTATTGTTGAGTGGTATAATGTACACATGAATAACTTGATATGCATGTAGTGCATATTTAGTTTCAGTCGAAGAAAAGCACACTGTGGTTCGACGGAAGACCTCCTCTTGGGAATTACACCGTCGTCGCAGTTATAAGACAACTATACTGTGGAAATTTAATAATAATCTAATGGCCGGGTAAAGTTTGTAAGATAAAACGCTGTATTATACATGCAACTTATACTTTTTGTGGAACGTCTTAGAGGTTTCGTACAAAACTGTACTTATAAGGTGCGTAAAAAATAATTGTGATACTAAATTAGTGTCGAATTGAATTACGAACCGTTTAATTAAATGCATCGCCTACGCCTTGTGTAATTTGCCACAACGACAATACAAATATACAACTTTATGCAAATCGAAAAAACTTTTAATACAGTATACCATTTAGTTTATGTACCTATACTTAAATGGCACGTGGCAACTTTTAACATTTGATTTCGAGTAAAATGACAAATAAAAACTCTCTTCGAGGAAACTAGTGCGTACTATGTTAAACGGCAAAATGATTAATTTAATTTACAGTGTGAATCATTAAGTACAAAACAACACTTTTCTTTGAAAATCATTGACATTTTTGTAATTTTTTCTCTTTGCTGGACACGTCTGTTTATGTTGTTTTACGACATTAGCCATAACTAAGACGGAAATAACTTAACACTGATTGGCTCTTTATTCAGTTGAAATATTATTCAAAATTACTTCCAGATCAATTTTCGTCGAATATTGCCTATATTTTGCCCCATCATAATTCCAAAAGTTATTATCACTGCAGTGATTAATCTATAATACTAATCGTTTGTTAAATCAAAAATTATTATCTATATTGTGTCATCATAATGGGTTCAGTACAGTATGTTGTATAACATTCTACAAAATTGAACATTAAAGTTAACATCCGTTTAAATTTAATAAACCAAAATAAAAGCTTTATTATTGCTGTTTATAGTGATTATTTGCATTAGAAATAACCTACTAAAAATTTCCATTTGGATTAAAGTTTCTGATGTAACTCACTTCAAAGTGCAACAACAATTATTAACATTGTTACTCTTTAAAATTAATTATGGTATTTAAATGTAAAATGAAAGCCAATGATGGTTTTTTATTGTATTGATAAGGGTCATAAAACATGTTGGAACACTACAAAATATGTATGTTGCAAACACGAGTTAAAATATTTATTATAGTTAAAACTTTATGACAACATTAACATATGTTAATGTTGTTAAAACATGTTTACACCAATATTTTTAATTTAGTTAAGTAATTTACCAGTAGATGTCGTCCTGAATACCTCACTAGCTGTAATAATAAAGTTTTTGTGTGCGTTTAAATAATAGGTACCTTAACGCAATAATTCTTTTGAAAACAAAGTCAGTTATTAATTTTTTAAGATAAATTATTTATTAAAAATGACACCTCGTGCCATCTACACCTGTGTCCACGCCTATGACTTTTCCAATACAATATATTGGAGAGAAAATTTGTGGATGAAAACAATAAACAAGTTTCATATATAGTCAGTACGTCATCTACTAAATGTCAATTGTATGAAGTTCTATAACCGATAAATGGCTATGGATTAGGCTAGCTTACGGACTTTACTAACATCAATTTAGTAGCAGTATAATTTTTTTAAATGTATGTTGTATAAGTATATGATATTTGTATGATAACTAATTGTCTATAAATAATAAAGTTAAAAAATATTTTTACTATATGTACATTGAAAATTTGCAATAGGTTATATCAATCGTGAAAAAAATTGTACTTACTATTTTGCCAAAAATACAAAATAAATTAGTATTTGTAAACATTTATATTTCTAAATTGTCGTGTGATCAATTTTTATAGTGTATAAAACTTTTGGATTTCTTTGAAATATTTGACAAGCGGTACCTATTGTAAAAATGGTTTTATTCTGCATAGACTTTGTAGACAAAAAAAATTTGACAATATTTATAGCTCAGGTCATACGTGATAATATAGTAGTTTTTCAACATATATATATATATATAAATAGCCAGACCGTAATCATATTGCCACAAAAGTGCCATTATTATCCTTATATTACCCATGTTTTTATTGTTCTGGTGTGTTTCTAGATATTATATTAGATATATTATGTTTGGGTGTCATTATTTATGTTTTGGCTCGTTTTAAAGATTTTATGAAAATAGTGAAATATTATTGTCCGCAATGAGTAAGCGGATAAATTTAAAATTTCATAGCTAACTGTATTTCTTTTAAAACTAACTACGACACTGTTTTCGTAGTACTTTATGGCCATCGACTAACGTTAATAGGTTTGAAGATACAAAATACCAATGAATTCGGCACTTGCACTTGTTAAAATTAATATAATAATAGCATACTGCAGCTTTAGTTTGAATATAAGACCAAGATATAAATTGGTTTTAAAACATTTTGACACATCATAATTTACTAGTAGTTTTTTTTTTAATAACAGCAAGTACAAAATAATCAACATCTAATTATACGTCAAAATTATAGTATTAGCTATAACTTGTAACACTTAAACATAACGTAAATGTATTACATCAAAAGTAAATTTACACTCGTTTGATTTGCACGACAAATTGAGTATCAATAAGTATGTTCTTAATTATTAATAATTGCAATATCTATTTAGTTTACTTTAAGTTGTCTCTGCCGGTTTTCGGTAACGCCAGAACTAGTAGCGCTGAAACTGATAAATTCATTTTCATGTTATTATTACAAAATAATACCAAAACATTTATGCAGGGCATTAACGGATTGACCTATGCAGCAACAAAAAAAATATATATATATATATATTGTTGTTTTTTTTAAATTGATATTTTAAAAATAATTTAAAAACCCGTTTTCACAGAAGAATTCATAATCAATGACTACACTCGACCTTTGGTAGTTGAACTTACTTATCAACAACGCACCAGAAACCACAATTGGGATCAAACAGTGTGCGTCGATGTACACACCAACCACGACGTTGCCCAGAAGTGCGCCAATCTTACCAAACGTTCCACCTATCGACACGGCCATGCCCCTGTCGAAAATGATTATCATCAGACAGTCGCATAAGTCTAGATCGCTAAAATCACATTTGGATCTCGAGTAAAAGCTCGGTTCGTTGCCAAAGACGTGGCTTACACTAAGTCGTGTCTTTGGGAACGATTACTAATCAGCTAATTTTCTGGCCCCTCGCCCTTGCTTTTCCGCCCATCTCCTAGCCGCCTTTTTGTTATTACTTTCTTTTGGCGACTCGATTCAAGTGTAATAGCCAACCTGTGCTCTGTCGGGAACAGCTCCACGCAAATGCAGTACATAAGACTTATGCCCAGACTGGAGAGCGCTTCGAAAACGGCCGAAAGCGCTAGATTTTGCGCGGAAGAAGTGATGAAGTACAGACACGCCGCTGCTATACCCGAGCCCATGAAACTGACCACTGTGTAGTAAAACAAAAAAAAAAAAAACAATAATTATTAACAATATTTCGGCCTCGCACATCAAAGCTCTTTGCGGCCAATCGAACCGTCAGCCAACGACATATTGTTTATGGCCAAAACCGTTACCAGCACGCGTGTCATGTCATGCGTGGCGCTGTCAGTACGTTTTAAGTTGTTAAGACCTAATTATTATTGTACCGAGAGTTATTATAAAGACAATATATTCGTGCGAAAACGTCTCGAGACTTCGGACCACTGAAATATATTTGGCGAGATGGCCACGACGACGTAAGCTATATTATCATCATCGGTTCGAACCTAAGAAAAACCTCAGTCCCAACTTGTTGACGAACATGGGTACGGCCAGACTTGTCGGGATACAAGCAAAACCGATGATGACGATATTGACGTACACCGACAGATCAATGGTGTCAGTGCATTCGGTGGTCAGATCATTGGATTTGCTGTGGAACATGGACACTATCTGACACATGTTTGCCCGGGGCGAGCCCGGCTTGGCGGCGGTCTCGTACTGCCGGAACCTGTTCATCAGCTCTGGAAACCACATTATCAGCATGTAGTAACTGCACACACAATACATATACAAAATCTTAGAACGCAATCGCACAATAATATACCACACGGTAAAAAATGTATTTTAAAAACACTATATTTCATACTAAACCGCGGCAAACAATTTAAATAAACGTTGTAACTACTATAGTAAAACATTATGTTTTATAAAAAAAATATTTTTTTAGCTGTGTGGCGTAATGTATTTTTTTATATTATATAGATGTACAAATAATAATATGTTGAATTATATTTTCTAAATAGGTTTAATTGTCAAGAGTCACGCAGTTTACCAAAGCATAATATCATTCACGGTTTACTTGCACCAGAATCGGTATGTCGACTATTACTAAAATTAAATCCAATTTTCAAGTAAGCAATTACTTAGAAGTCGCAAAATAACTTAGCCGGGGCCGTACAGTTATAGAACTTTTTGAACAGCTACAATTAATGATCAGTTGTTTAATCTCTTTTTGCAAGTTAGTTGGTCAAGTGTCAAACCAGAAATTTGTCAAACTTGAAAAACTTCTTTTTAGAACTTTTACAGATCCCTTAATTTTTCATTCCAATTCACTGTACTTGTTTGTGTACCGGATGTGCACTTTAAATTTTACAATAACTCAATTATATGTAAGACATTGTTCTCGACCTGGCTGTGGCGCAAAATTGTATAACACAAGTGATGACGGCTATGACTTTGTACTGTGATGTGAACAACCCTCTTGTGCTGGCCCACAAGCCTTTTAAGAAACCGGTCTTCTCCTGTTCAACGTAGCCCGACATTTCCAGCGAACTTATCTGCAGGGCAAAAGAGTGTGTCAGTTTTTTTAAAGCGTACTACTATTTTAACTACCTGACCTGTGCCAATAATTAATCGGTGCTTTTTTTTTTTTGTCTATTTTTTACTCACCGGGAACTGGTCAAGTCCCGTTTTGTTGTTCCACGCGTACACCACCTTTAGACATTCGATTGTCTCGTCGTGTCTGCCTTTGTTGAGCAGAAATTTCGGACTTTCCGGCATTTGCATCAGCAAGCAAGCCAGCACAATACTCGGCACAGAGCACACGATGACAAACAGATTCCAAGACTTGAACAGGAAGTAATCGTATTCTATCTTGAACGTCTGAGGTATCACTAGCCATGCCACACCTGCAATTTGCCACCGGTCAAAGAGGAGTTGGAACCTTTTTTTGTTGACAATTTCTCAATTGTTTGACAGTTTTGTCATTGTGTCATTTTTGGCAGATATGCTTACAGGGAAGTATTATGATGCCCGCGGTCCAGAACATTTCCATCCAGCAGAGGAATTTTTCGCGATACTTGGCGTTGACGAATTCGCCCAAGTAAGAATACAGCACTGTGACGCCGGATACCCTGAGGAGAGCGTTACAATTTGTTCGGTTAATCAATCTGTTAATAATTGTCATTTGATTATAAATCAAGAGCTCAAACTCCAAAGTGTCGTTTTGGAACAGTTTTTTTTTTTAAATCACTGCCTTTTGCCCTACGGGTTCATTTTGGAAACATTTACAATGTGGATTACACAGCGCAACATTTTTTATTTTTGTCATGTTAATTACAACAGCTAATTATAGGTACTTTCAAGGTCACTAATTACACAAATTATTATACACGAAGTCCACGTAGGGAAAATTAAAAAGTGTTACACTTTAATCGCCTGTTTGCTCTAGTTCGTAATGCTCCGTTAAACGTGTTATTTCAAAGTAAGACAGAGAGACGTTTCTAAAAAGAACAAGGAATAAAGATGGCACTCGACGTGTTGTATACCATGGAGTAGTAGTCTTGACGATAAAATAAATTCCTAATAACATAAGAGATGTGCGATTATGCGACTTGCACAATTTATCGACAAATTGAGATTGCTGAAATGATCTGATAACTGTGTTGTTACCCGAATCCACTCATGAACCTGCAGAACAAAAACAACGGATACGCTTGAGACATGCCGGAAACCAGACTGAACAGACCGTCCATCATAGTGCTGACGATCAACGTGTACCGTCGGCCTTTGGAATCGGCCAAGTAACCCCAAATGAACGATCCCGTGAACATTCCTGTGGGAATTGCGCGTTGCAGTAACTATTATTATACACCCGGAATACCGTATTGTACCCGTGTGCAAGGCACAGCGAGGGCTGCTTGTACTCACCTACCATCGAAGCCCCGTTCAGCAGACCCTTGTGCGTGGAAGTCATGTCAAAGTCACATTGGGCCGACGGCAAGATGAACGATACCGATGTAACACTGACGGCGAACATGACAAACAGTGAGCCACATATGAACAGTATGTAGTACTGAAACTTTCCAAAACCTGTGTACAATATCACCCCGTAAGACATTCTCATTTTTCACTTAAAATAGTTGCAATTTTGCGGGCGTTTTTTATTTTTTTGAACGCATTTTTGTTTATGATGTTTTTGTCAATTTTACACAATTTCCAAATGTATTATTTACCCGAGTAAGATAAATAAGCGCAGAATAATACAAAATATCATTTTGTACATTATTTATCGTAGTTTAAACAATAAACCCGGTTTTCAGGATAGATTTGAGGATGGAGATTGAATGAAAAAAAAAAAATACTAAAAATACTCACCAACCATTTCAATGGCATTGTCCAACTGTATCGGTTGAGTACACGAGTTTTCGGAATTGGGTTTGTCTGCAATAAAAATCGTAGAAACGAAAATTGTAAAAAAATTCTAATCTTAAATATTTAAAAAAAAAAACGAAAATCACTCGAGTGGCTATCATACCCATTATTGTAGTGTTGTTGACAGCCATGATCATATAAATGGTGTGTACAAGAAACACACTTGCAAAATGACAGTATACACACACACACAGTACTCACCGAAAGTGAGTTGCTGACGGCCAACACATTGATACACATTAATTAATTATTTTTATTGTTTTCATGGCAACCAATATATATCCGTTCGGTCGTTAGTGAAATCATTAATTTTAATAACTTCTAATTGCCACGCCATAACCGCTTACACATGTATTTAAATTGGTCGTCTTATATCAACAAGGCGACTAATAGTAATGAAAAAAAAAAAAGAAATGACAAAAAATCCGTTAAAAAACATTCTACAAAGTAATTTAAATATAATATAAGCATTTTCTTCAAGTACCTATAAGTAGACTTGATAGAAAAAAAAAAGTATAAGTAGGTATTACACATTATAGTTAATCGAATACTTCTTCTGCGGGGTTTGGGTGAAGGGGACGAATCTAAACTTGCTACTTTTGGGAAAATGTAAATCAAATTTTGAAAAGTTACTGAGAAAACGGTCTTGGTTTAATTTAGATGGGAACAAAACATTATTAGTTGCTAACTTATTTTTAAACTATATATAACACTATACTACTTAACATGTCAAAGGGCAATAATTGTAAAATAAATTAACTTTGAAAAATCACAACGATATGCGTACATAAAGGGATATCTTCTTTTGGGCCAACTAGATCACTTCAGTATCGTTCAATAAATATTTAATCAATGAATAATGAAAATTGTCCGAATAAAATGTTATCTTTTTTTTTTTGTTCTTGTTTAGGCAAATTTGATCTTAAAGATTTTACTAATAAGTAATAACTATTCAATACGGTACTGTGCTATATATTATATACTAACAGACTTTTACACATAATATTATGGCCGTTTTTTACTTAAATGTGCGTTTTCATAATAGGTATAAGTATACTATAGGTTTTCATTCTGGATTCCTGTTGGACAGCTGATCCACTTATTTTTGGTATTTGTAATTCTTTGTGACAACATTGACCCCACGATGAAACGTTCATTTTGGGTTTATTTTTCACTAATATTGTTCAAACATTCTGAACATCATATACTTATATATTTTTTATTTTACTTAGCTTTGTTTGTTCGTCCCTAAGTGGATGTATTAAGTTCGCAGTGAACAAACAAAGTTAGTTTTAGAGGCCTGGGATTTGCTTTTTGTATTCTCATTTTATTTTCGACAGTGTGTACTAAATTATAACCAAAGATATCCAACACATTTGTTGATTGACTATTATCTGGCATTTTGATTTTACAATTTGTCTTGCAAAAATTGTCTTATAAGTTTTTAGAGGTTTCGATAAATATGTTATAAAAAAAAAAGGCCAAGGCATATCACACCCAGTTAACAATAATAATAATATGTTATGATTGCATTAATGTTGTTTGTTTTATTCATAACTGTTTTCATTTATTTTGAATTTATTTATGTTGATAAAAAATACGGAAGAAGATAGTTGTTAACTAATTGTTGTAAGCAGAAAAATGAGATACTTACCAAATAACTTACATTTTGTATATATGTAAGTATAATAAAATAATAGTTATTCTCTTATTACATGATCAATTAAACGACGGCACTGTTTTAATTATTGTGGTCTTGGGTCAATAACGATAACTCTTTTGGCGCACTCAATTTTTACAATGATTATTGTTTGACTAAACGTCACATTGTTTTTATGATAATTTAAAATCATTTGTGCAAAACTTTTCGCCGTTGGATTACAATTAATCCGCATAGTGATTTATCTAGAAACATTTTGTCAGTACTTATCGATTGTCCTGTCATATCTGAGGATCTATTATAAAAGATTCAAGTACATGTGTATTTTTTTTTTTTTTGTATCCAATTGATTTTTCGAGATTATACGTTTTAACGAAGTCGAGAAAAAAACAATTTGTCGGTATCTATTATTGACTTTGGTCGTCATTAATAATAACAACTAACAAGCGTATGGGATCAGTTGAAGACTTGAGCTTAACAAGACAAGTATAATTCTGATGTTTAAACAGTATATATATATATATATAGGGTTGTAAGTCGCCAGTCGACGTTGTAGTAGTTGTATTCATTTATTTTTTATCATTTAGATCTGCCAGTTATAACAATAAAAAAAAACACCGAGCAAATTATTTTTTCGACAGGACTTTTTTTATCTTTTATTGTAAAATATTACACAGCTCAACATTTAAGATCAAAAAATAATAATACATCAATACTATATCATAGTATAAAGTCATATTGTGTCATAATTACATATTATTTAATCATGACAAAACTTCTGTGGAACTGAGAACATAGATTTTTCATCTACTTACATAGTTTTTTCGATCATACATAAGTGTCTTCTCTATCCCCAATTTTAGCCGGAGTTCCACAAGGGTCAATACTTTCCCCTATTCTTTTTAATATACAATTTTTTCTGTCAGAGTGAACGGACGATAAAGCTGTATTTTCTCAGACCTATCAGGTACAGCCACTAACTGTCTACAGACCCATTGGCTTCGTGGTACACCAAAAATGGAGGGTAAAAAAGGCGACTCGGAGTCAGTATTTATACCAGTTTCCCTGGAGCAAAATTGGTAATCTCAAATCGGTACCGTTATATTTTTTGTGTACACTTGTGCTGCCTTTTCTTTGTAACAATCATCGTCGTACTTACGGTCAATGTCAGAGGGTAAAATTTCACGGAACCAACCATACGTCACGTACAATGGTAAATGGGTGGGAGGTGGGAGAGGGGGTAAAAATCAATTTAAAACGTTTGACCGAATTGTTCGCGTTCGTATAAGGCTTCGGTTAGGTGCGGAAGTGATTATATATTGTTATTATATACACATAGAAGTCGTACGAGCACTGCATGGAGACATTTTTTTTTTTTTTTTTTAAACAACTAAATAAATAACTGTATACTACGTTAGTCGGACGTTTATTTGGCCAACCAAATTTTCGATAGAGAAAATAATATATATATAAGTATATTAAAAACGGTAAGACGCGCGCCTCAGGTGGTGGACGCACTCAGAGTAATCACAATGTCTCTCCTCGGTCGTAATGGCCGTTACCGGGGTGGGGGTACGAATAATGGGGTACGATAAACGTTTATGGTTCGATTCAATCTAAAAAAAAAAAAAAAAAAAAAAATAATAAAAATTAAATTACATTAAAAAACCCCGCTAAACCGTCGCGTTAACGTTCATTCCGACCAGAGCAGGCCGAGACGGTGTGCAGTGCCCCGCAGTCGGTCGGCGGACGGATATAAGTGTTGTTGCAGTAATATTTTTTAATTTTGCAAAAAAGAAAAAAAAAAGAAAGAGGTGTTTTAATGTTGTATTTATTTATTTATTTTTTTTAACTTTTCCTCTGGGTCGCTATTGCGTGATACACCGGAACAAAGCCTCGGCGTGCGATTTACATAATACAACTACTAAGTCGCCCCATTCGATTGACGTCTGGAGGCAAAAATAGAATAGGACCAATACATGTCCTGTACACACACACACACACACACACACAATATATAACAAGAAAAGGAAAACAAATAACAAAACGGGGCGGCGTTGTCGCCATAAGCTTTTTAGTCTACCCGCCAACGCAGCGCATCGTGCATCCACCGTCGCCCGGTCTTGGTGAAAACTTCCCCGAGGAAACAATAGCAATACTATGGACTTGTGATTTCCTTAGACCGACCTGTGGGCATCATCAATATTGAATTTAATATAAAACTGTTCATTCGCCGATCACCGAGGTAAGAAAAGTAAAAAAAAAAATTCACAACTAAATTGGGTAAAATTTGTATATCATGTTAAAAGGGGATTGCGCGCAGTCTGTTTTTAAGGAAATTTTTGTAGGCAATATTTAAGAAAAAAATAGGTTTTTTAATTTAATTTCGACCGTGTCAATTAAACGACCGGTTGATTTGTCAAGTTTCAAGCTATAATTTTTAAATGAAATCATTTTTTATACGAGTAAAAAGTTTTTTACTCAAAAAGCCAGACAAAATTTCCACTACACAGGATGGTCCAATTTCACTCCTGTAAAGAGATTCGAGTTCTCTTACTATACTTTACTATGTATGTTATGTAGCAAGCGGATTTGCATTAAAAAATTTCAGTTTCAAATAGATTAAATTTGCAATTTTTTTCAACGTTAAAACCCAATTTTTGTACATAATAAAGTAAAATACGAAAAAAAATCTGTTTAAAAGTTGCCCAAAATTAATTTGCAAATTTTTACTGAATTGAAATCGGACCATCCTAAGTAGTCGAAATTTGGTCTGGCTTTTTGTTTTTAAAACGTCAAAAATCAGACCGAATTAAGCACAAAATTTAGACTACTCAAGATTATTATTATTTATTTGTAACCCCCTCCCCCCGAGTTACTAAGTCTTTTATTAATTATAATCACAACTTATAATAAACAATTGAACACATCATATTAAAATGATTGGAATAACAACAATTTAAACACTAAAAATAATAATATAGTTTATTATATAAAAGATAATATAATTTTTATAAATTGCAGTATGGGGGAGGGGAATTGTTCACCAATTTTTTACAAAGCCTATATTCTACAGCATGTTGCATGAGCCAGTTAGTTAAATTAATTCTAAATAATTTATTGTGATTCGAGTAAGTATATTATAGTTATTCATTAAAGAGGCTTTTGAAAATACTATGAGAAATAAGACTGTGTGGAAAATGTACATTTACTGCTTTGTGGAAAAGTTTTTTTAACTGATTGCACGTTAAATTCTTAATAGAGCTTTTTGACATGGTAATCGCTGTTTTTATTTAAGACTAATCTCGAAATATATTTGTGTATTATAACTATTAAGATTAGATTTATTTGCTGCACCCTATGCAAAGTAAGTGATTTGTATACCATTTTAATTTGGTTATTGCTGAAATTAGGTCTAAGCTGTATGAAGGCATAAGAAAGTTTTCTTCTATCGGTTACTAACCATTTAACATGCTCTACCCATTTTGAATAATTACAGCTGATTTCTATAACTAAGTATTTGACAGTGAAATGTATGTTTAATTTTGTGACTTGAGCTTTACAAAATGATGATGGGATAATACATTTTAACTTATGATTACTGTAATGCATTACGCAATTCTATTTGAATTTAATTCTGACAATATTTTGTATAATCATAACGGTTAACGGTAGTTTTATTAAAACACACATACATATAAATGAAATCACGACAAAAAAAAAATTGTTAAAAATGTTTTATTCGAAACCACTCATTAACGTTTTGTTGTCTTAATAAAATAATAAAAGCATGTCATGTCTGAACAGAATACACGCCACTAGATAGCGCCTTAGGTATATTGGACAACATTAATATTTAACATACCTTTTTCTTTATAACTAGTTTCCTTAGTTTGGTTGTGAACCAAGGTGGGATTAGTAGGAGGAGTAGATGGATCCGACTCAAGCGTCAGTATCCTATTATCCAGAGAAATAACTTTACTTCTTAGGTAAGAAATTTCAGCAGTAATCATTTAATCGAGTTTTTAGCTCGTCGCTTAGATATTTATTCTGGGCTATCATATTCTTCTGAGTTTTCCGAAGGTCATTTATAGCGCGCATTACATCCTCATTTGCTGAGCCAGAAACTGACGCAAAGACCGGAGAACCTTTTTTCGAAACCCAGGAAGATCGTATGAGACTTTTGAAGACCGATTGTCTAGTCGCTTAACTCACTGGCGATCCATGAAGAACTCTGAGAGTAATATTAAAGTTGAAAACATTTTAAGCCCACTGATTATTTGTTTTAAATCCGAATGATTTTTTAATTATAAGCCCATACAAGCACTTTATTTATTTACCCTACTGCCACCGTTGTTCCGGTGTTCCTGAGGGTATACTTAACAGACCGCTTAGGACTGTGTAACAATACGAATATTATTTTTAAATCTTCGTGTACATTTTATTTTATTAAGTTAAATATTTTTTTTGTTTTTTAAACAGAATTAGTTTAGAAAAAACAGTTCTAGTTCACAGCTCTTAACGCTTCAATGCCTTCAACATTATCATAGTCTTTTTCAGTAAGACCTTGACTGTTTGCTGGCGGTTCTTTGTTGCTTACATCATTTTCGATCACACCAAGAAGATCGATGTCCTTGTACATAAAAAACGCATCTTCCAAATCTTCAACGTTTACTTTTTTCCCCGTTGTAGAGATCTGTCAGGTATACCTTGTCACCGACCTTGAAATGATTTCCTGACTCCTAAAACAAGCAAACACTTTAATTTTTTTAATAAAATTAAAAAAAAAAAATATATTTCCATCAGCATGAAAAAAAATTAACGATTCATTGCAGATAACATTTAAATAACAAAAATGTTGTACCTAAATAAATATCGAAAGGTACGTTTTGAATAATGAAAACATTTTCAAATGTTTAAAGAGATAAAAAGTTCTAAAAATAACTATATTCAAATGAAAATCATATGATTACTCTTAACGTTTATATAGTTATTACCGTACAACCTTAACTAATTAAGGACATATGATGATATTACCTGTTTGCATTTTTTGCCGATGGCAAGCACTACACCGACATAAGTTGGTTTTGGGGCCTTAGTACCAGAAAATAAACCGCTTTTTGTCTGTTGGGACTGAAATAATTTTTTCATCAACACGTTGTTGAAAAGCGGAATGATTTTTTTTGACGATTTTTTAATGATTGAATGTAGTAATAACATCGTTGTAACCTATTGTAATTGCAATAATATATACCTACTTAAAAGATGCCTAGCGGCCAAAAAGAACATTTTAATAACAATTTCAATACTTATATAATGTAGTATACTTGTAACTTACCATTACAGCGGATTCGTTTAATAAATATTCACCGTAGAAATGATTAACACGTCAATTACACTTAGAAATATATCAAAAACTATGAAGACAAAAAATAAACAAGGTTGTTCGGGTAACTGTTATGGATATGCATTTTTGTATAGACATAATAATTAATTTAATTGTAGGTAGCATAATGGACTTTTAAGTAAAATACTAATAACAGAGTCTGTAACCGATGGTAACAATAATAATTACTTATTGTATTAATTAAATACAGAGTAGATAGAAACGTAAAACATTCTACTAACCGTTCATTTCCAAACGGACACGCATCGGTTATGGTTTCATTATAGTAGTTTAGCCTAAGACAAATAATTTACATGTATACAAAATAAGTTAGTAAGTTATTTATTTTACACACAGCGGGGTGAAAAATATAAGAATTTTGCGTATCTAATTAATTGGATATTTTGGTTTAAGCAAACAAAAATAATGAATTAAAATGAACTGCACTATACTATATATATATATATATATATATATATATATTTTAAGAAACGTATCAAAATTATTTATTTATTTATCATTTATTAACAAATCAAACAACAATCCAACGACGCATAGGTAGAGTTTGACACACCGGAAACACTATTGAATGAAAACCACGTATGACAATGAACAACAGATATGTAATTAATAATAACCATAATTATACGTTTAATTTAATTTAAATAAAGTACAAACTTGCCAAAAAAAAACAACACACGCCGTCACCGTTATTATTTGATACGATAACGTTCTGGCATGATAAAAACGCGCGCCAACGCTATGCGCCGCCTAAGCCGCCTTAGATTCTTTTTCATGAGCGAGATAGCGTACAGTGTATTATATTTTCTTTTCCAAGGTCAAATATAGTGTACCGCGATAAGATTTTAACATTTTATTATATATGATTTTTTTTATTCATTTTAAGGTTTTTTTAGATAGACTGACTTAAACTCACTGTTTCCGAATATTTTTTTACAAAAATATCACTCCTCAAAACACTAATATAGCCATTAACTGTCACAAAAATGTTAAAATCAAGATTAATAAAAAAAAATTATGTTTCTATTTGAAAAAGAAAAGTTAATAAATAAATAATGAAAAAATATTAAAATAGCAAGAGAAATTCGTTGTGAAACGCCAAAATGTCCATAGAAATTATGTACACAAAAATTGGTTTGTACTCTTAATAACTGGTTATTTTTGGGATTAGAAATAATAGTTCCCTGAAGCGTTTAAGTGATTAATATTATTTTTAACTCTTAAATTACCTTGATTATTGTTGAAGTCAATAAGTTAATATTATCATATCATAATTTTATCTCCATTCAGTTACTGAAATGTATATAATACATTTTTTCATACAAATAATTGCATGTTAATTAGGTTCAATTATCCATCGAACTCAGTAACGTTAGTTGCATAGCCGATAAAATAATAACAATATATATATTGACCTTTTGAGAACATTACCGCACGTTTACGAAAGTAAACAATTTTTTTTTAGTGCAAAGTTTATTCGATATTGTTTTTGTTTATGTAAACGCATTAGGCATACTATGTTTATTTATAACAAATTGATAAGATGCCACGCGGCTCGCCATTCGCGTGTGATGAATTCAACACAGTTTGTCTGGTTAGACCGGTATTAAAAACAAATAAAATTAATAGTTACATATTGTATTGTCCTAAGCCGGTGTTACTACTAGGTATAATTGCTTGCAAACCGACCGAGTCGTTATTGAAAGCTTCCACGAGTAACACAAGACCCGTTCGTTGTCAGCCGGTGCACAGTGCACTGCTTGTGTGTTTTTTAATATTAAATATCGACACCGAATCCGACGTGTTCTGGTTGCACAGATAAGCCCGAGGTCGTCGTCGTCGCCGTACCGGGCAAGCCATGGTGGATAAACTACACGAGTACCAAGGTCCCGTGGGAATCGCGCACACTTGGAGGGACGCGCTCCAGGAAAGATGGTACGGTTGGAAAGAAAACCGTCCACGAACGCTGTTGCAGCTGTTGCAGTCTTTGGGACTGGCCGAGGTGCCGGGCAGCCCGGTCGAAGACGGACAGACTCCCGCGGGTGTCGACATGGACCAGTACTCTCATATTTTCAGGTAACCTACATGTTCTGCCTATACTGTCTGTCTGGCTGTCTCGCGAGAGAACGGCACTGCAGCTGTTAACGTTGGCTTGTGTATAGGAAAAAAACGAGGCGCGAACTCATCCGGATATCCGCTGCCGTGATGGGAATAGAGTTTTCCTACGCTGCCGAAACGGCGTTCGTGTCACCGACGCTTTTGAAGATTGGCGTCGACCATCAGCACATGACTCTGGTTTGGGCCGTGTCGCCTTGCATAGGATTTTTCGTCACCCCAATCCTCGGATCGTTGAGCGACAGGTGTACCCTTCCGTTGGGTCGACGGAGGCCGTTTCTGATACTACTCGCCTGTGGCGTTTTCCTGGGTAGGCATCTGAGAACACTGGATCACAACAGGACTGTGTCTTATGGTACAAGAATGGCGGGGTTTCAAACGGCTGTAAGTTGTGGAGTATTGGACCTACAGCGTTCTGGGTAGGGCTTGAACGAAAGGGGGAGTTGTCACGTTCCGAATGACTGACAAACGGAAACGTTTGCACACAACCTGCAGCCAGTTTGAAACCCCGCCATTCTTTTTGGGACACCCCGTATAAATAACTTGTAACGAAAGGTTATATTTTTGAAAATGCGTTTGTAAGGTATGATGTTGGTGCCAAACGGCGAGTCGTTGGGTCACTGGGTGGAAGGAGCGTCGGGGCCGGGCGTTTCGAATTTTTGGCCGATATTTTTTACGGTCCTGGGCACGGTGCTGTTGGATTTCGACGCGGACGCCTGTCAGAGCCCGGCCCGTGCATACCTCTTGGACATATGCGTGCCAGGTAATCTATTATTATTGGTTGGCAAATCAAACTGTATTACATTGAACATCCCGTGTAAATCCGATGGACGCACGCAGAGGACCACGCGAAGGGTCTCAGCACCTTCACGGTCATGGCCGGTCTGGGAGGTTTCGTCGGCTATCTACTCGGCGCGGTGGACTGGGACTCGTTGAAATTCGGTAAGAAGGCTCTGTGCCACAAAGCCAACGTTTTCCGTGTTAATTGTGTTTCAATCGCAGGTGAGCTGATGGGCGGTCACGTAAGAGCCGTATTTACTTTGGTCACATTCCTGTTTGTCGGATGCATCTCGTACACTGTCAGCAGTTTCAAAGAGATGCCGTTGAAATTGCAGCGGTACAATCAAACCCGGATAATGGTCACCGACGTCGACCAAGTGAGAGCGTGGCGTTTGTCAGAATTTATCATGTTATTCTGTTAAGTGTGATCTGTCCTTGTTTGATAATAACGAGAAACTCGTTCGCAGGGCGGCGACGGTGACAAGCTCACAGACTACGCGCCAAAGTCTTACGGCACACTCGTAGACGCCCTCGAGGAGAACAACGAACCAGTTCTTATACCGGTAAATGCTTTTGAGTTGTGGGGATTCTTACTCTTATAATGCCACGTGTATTAATACTGAATAACTACTAAAACAGTACAACGCGGTAGCATAACATGTGAATCAATCTTTCCCTTTGGGGGAAAGACGTTGGCAGGTTAAATGTGTCTTACGGGCAGTTGACTTCCCTTGTTTTTAGATGTGATAAATACCCTTACCCTCCTACCCTTGCCGTGCACTCCTTTGCCATTGATTCTATCGACACTATGCCACGATCATCCACTAAAATGTCGGATTGACCTCATCCAGCCTAAATGACCATATTCATCATGTCAATATTACAGTGTCCTACCTATATCAGTTTCGTCAAACATAGACTTTTCGGGCTTTTGATGCTAAATTTGCAATACTCGTAAACCGGTAGCTTCGTCATAAGTTAATAACTGTTTTTGTCCAGGAGCATGCCACTTTCACGCACTACCTCAAGACCATAGTAGTGATGCCCACGTCGATAAAATTGGTGTGCTTGACCAATCTGTTCTGTTGGATGGCGCACGTGTGTTATTCGCTGTACTTTACAGATTATGTGGGAGAGGCGGTCTTCGGCGGCGATCCCACGGTAACAATTAAAAAAAAACGCCTATTTTCTCCGGAAAAGCATTTAACCGTCGATATGTTTTTAACATCACCAAGATTAAGTATGAGTTTTGATGACACAATACATTATGTTACAATGTTACAGTTGCTCAACAGATTTCATGACCATGCGAGTTTTAGATATCCATATACCCTTAGGGCTAAAGACATATCCATGTTGATTTAAGTGTTGTGCTGAGTGCACATTAATTGTAAATTTTGTTTGAATTTCCAAAATTACACCTTGCAGGCTCCACCGGGAAGCCAGGGAAAACTGTTGTACGAGCAAGGCGTTCGTTTCGGATCGATGGGCATGTCCATGTACTCGTTGTCGTGTGCTTGTTATTCGAGTGTCATTGAAAAATTCATCAAACGCTTCGGGTAAGCGCTAAACTAACATAACGGTGCGAACCGTTTAGGTTCAATTCAGTTAAGCGGACAATGCATGTAACAACAATATTATGTTTTTTCAATGTCTACAATTTTTTTTTTTTTTGACAAAGTGCCAAAAGAGTTTACACGGGCGGTCTGCTATTCTATTCTGCCGGCATGTTTATGATGGCCGTCACCAGGCATAAGTTCAGCGTGATATTCTTTTCATGGGCTGCCGGCGTCATGTATTCCACAATGTTCACCATGCCTTTTCTCTTGATAGCGCACTATCACTCCACCAACAAGGTATACCAATCCTTAAAATTGTTAGCTTACAACTTTGGCTCGGGGACAGGGTAGTTTTTTTTTTTGGGTAAAAAAAATGAGAGTTAAACGAACAAACGGGAAATTTGTCACTCAATTTGTCGTCGAAAATAGCAGGCAGCTAAAATATTTATAGGTACAAATTTTCGGTCTGAACGCAAATTTGTTTTACTAAAAAAATTGTTAAAAAAAGTTCTCCCAAACTATGGGCGCATCTGGTGTGCGCCGCGGAAAATCCCTTGTGGTCTCGAGTCAAACTTATTTTACATGTAGCCTGTTTAGATTAGGTATATTCAAATACAGGGTGGTTTGTTTAACGCCCTACACTAGTTTACTCAATAACTACTTGCATTTAAAAAAATAAAAAATGTCAATAACTTTTTTGTGTATTAAATACTAGCTTATTAAACAACACCAATTTTTGTACCTTTCCTCTTCCGTCAAAACTCGAAATCAATCAATGTTTTTAAATATACTTTGTTTTTTGACATTTTATTTCTTAACTTTGGCACACAACCGAAAATATCGACAGCGTTACCAAAAATCCTAACGAAAATTTATCCTTATATCCATATATATCCTTATATCCATATATCCATATATCCGTCTATATCCGAATATCCTTATATCTTTATATTCATATATATCCTTTTATATCCATATATCTTTATACATTCTTATATATAATTAAAAAAAACATAAAATGTCTCCCGTGGTTGTAAACTTGTACGCAAGTTGTTATCTCAAGCTCCATCTCCGACTCTATCTTAATCTCCGACTCTATTTCCACCTCCGTTTATACTATCGTTTTAATGAGTTATTGGCAATTCAATAAGCAGCTGCTGTTGAACTAGATGAGCTGTTTGAACATCATACGCGTTTGACTGGAGATTTTAACATTATAGACAAGCGATAAGAGATAGATAAAAGACGGGCAGATTGAAGAGATTTTGAGACTAAAATAATGAAAAATACTTCTAAATTTGCATTTGGTTTTTTTTTTTTTTTTTTTGCAGTTTTCCGAAAGTTTGGGCGACAACGAACGAGTCGACGACCAAATCAGAGGCCTGGGCACAGACGTGGCCGTGGTCAGCTCGTCAGTGTTTGTCGCCCAGTTCATCCTGTCAATGTGCATGGGCACCATAGTGAACTTTTTCGGCACCACGTCCGCGGTGGTGTACACGGCATCGTTTTTGGGATTTTGCGCTTCACTAATCGCTTCGCAAATAGTCTACATGGACCTGTGAGTCTGTCCGGGGCACACTCGCTAGTCACCCGTTCGGCTGGATCTGTAAATGCCCTACAAAACTCTCTGCCTCTCACTCGTTGTGGTTGTTGTTTCACACTATTCCTACAAATGTTACAACGTTAATCCATATAGCAGTATTAATATAGTTTTCCCCAAATAAACTCCACTCGTTAAATTTTGCTCGAAATTTTGTGATTTTCGTCGCTCGTTCGGCCCAGAACGGCTACCGAGAAGTCATCGTTACGTTTACGACGAGCAGATGATAATAATATTAGGTATATTATTACACTATACATCTCATCGCAGTCCAACTGGGTCGCGGCCGCCTTTTCCTTTGGCAATTTCATAAATGATTACAATATAAAACCGCCGAAAGGTCGTTTGCGGACTGTTTTATAAATGCCACAACAATCGATATAATAAACGAGCGTATTCCGACTTTTAACATTTGTATATTTTTATCCTTAACCGTTTTTGGTTTATATTATATTATATATATATATATATATGCGTTTGTCTCGTTTTCTTATACCTTCAAGTCGGTTATATTTTATTGTTTTACTATTACGGTAATTTAACTAAGCGTTATTAGTGTTGTAACATACACATTGTGTTTTGCGTATGTTCCATTTGGTCTGTCGAAAGAAGTGCCGAGAACCGAAAGGGTAATTATTTAAAATCCAAAATAATGCTGCTGACTGCAAATTCAACTTTATTAGCTTCCCGGCGAGCACGACAATTTCAATGTTTTTATTTTATATTCAAACGTTTAATTGTTTATGCTGGCAGGCTGCTTTAGCTTCGACGAATAGTTGTGTTGTACTTGGGCTGAACGTTACCCGAACGGTTGTGTTTCGACATAATCATTTTTAGGGCTTTTTGGCACCTAAATAAAAAATACAGTGAACTTACACGCACGGGGCAGTATATGTATAGTGTGTGTACTTATATACCAACACGTCGACGCCACACCTATAATATCGTAGTTGTAAAAAATATAACGTGCTCAACACAGTTCGTGTCCACAAGCAATAATACAGTACAGAGGTGTACATTTGACTAAAAAAAAGAAATAAATTATTTTCTGCTACTCTCCCGGCAGTGCAAAAAAATATTTTCGGTTTTTTAAAATGCGGTTTAACGACTTTAGTATCGGTTTTGAGAAAAGGTTCGGTATTTCTGTTTTTTTACAAGTGTAAACAGACAATAATAGAAAACAGGAACATACTAGTTAAGAAATGGCAAAAAGGATGATCCAAGAAAATATTAATATTGATAGTTATAAAATCATTTTTTTTGCATGCACTACAGTTTATATATTTTTTAAAATTACAATATTTTTTTTTTTAATTCTAAATAATTTGTATTAAAGTTTTTTACCTAATGGTATTTGTTCTCTATGCCCATATCTGCAGCTTGCAACAAGTAGGCAGTTTTTGTAATTCTTATTTGGCCAGAACAGGGTTGAATCTTTTTTTGCAGATTTCGTTTAAGAATAATGAACCATGTAAGCAATTTCCTTTGCAATTGAATGAAAAATAACATTAAACTTTGTTCATCCCTTAAAAACAAAATATTCTAAGGTATCATTAAGGATTTATTTACCACATCATTTATACATTTTACCTACTAAGGCCTAAATTTGTGCCAATAATAGTATTTTTTTTAATCAAAATATAACATTAGTTTGTTCCTTTTTTTCTACTGATGTTTTTTTTTAAATAAAACATTTTCGTTAAAAAAATGAACAACTAAAACAATTTGAAATTTTTCTGAAAAATAATTCTTGCAATAGCTAAAAATCTTAAAAAAAATACATTTATACCTGGTATTTGTAAAAATAAAAAAAAGCTTCTAAAAAAGGCCACACGATACAATGGAAACAATACTTATGTTTTTATGTCAACGTTAAAAATTGTATTTTAACTAACATATTTTAAATATTATGTTAAAATTTAAATAGTAAAAAAAAATGTGTATCGTGCTTTGCTTTTTTATTTCTATTTAAAAGGTATTTAATATATTGCTGAAAAGTTGGCCGACTTCCAATTCGCACAAAGGATCGCGTGTCGAACGGCCCTGTTGTTGTATATGTTTTATTTAAATTTTAAATTTATGTTTGCTCGTTCCTAGTTGCTATTATTATTTTTCAGAACATTAATTTAAAAACCGCCGAAGTTTGTCCATCAATTTGCTCCATTCAAGTCTTACAACGCCCACAGAAATTTAAAAGTGAAAAGTTTTCAAAGTTAACAGCTGAAACTTTTTTGAGAATCCGAAAATGTTGATAAAACGAACCTATTCATCATAAAAAAAAAAACAAATATTAGCTTTACGAATAAAGTTAATTTAAAAATTATAACTAGAAGATATTTATTTAAGGTTTTGATAATAACATATGATTAATTTTGAAATGCATAATATTCATATTTCCTGTTGGATTATGAAAAAAAAAACATAATGTATTTCCTATTATACCTATTACATTATACCTACTATGTTAGAATATAGTAAACCAATTTATTATATACACATTATGTTATGTTGAAGATACAAATGCTGGATTGTATATTTTATAACGTTCATTGGACGTTTAGTCAATCGCTTGAACAACACAATAGTGGTTGGTCGATTAAATTTCAATTAACCATTATCATACTACTCTTAGGCGATCCGACGATGAGAATAAATTTCAATAAAAAAACCATTACAGTACAACGGTATTTAATTTATAGTATATTTATCATAAGCTGATATACTTCCAAATTTATGTTGGTCAACTATATGTTGATGAAATTCGGTTTTAATATTGTGACAGCATCGACTGGTAGGTTTCACTATTTTCTGTCGATGCAGATTTATTCAAATGGGGCGATGACGATATGATTTATAATGTGTCTAAAAGAAAACGATGCCATTCTGCCGTGTTGGTTTTGACACGCTGACGGGTTTTACGGTCGTTGAGTTTACGGTTAACATACATTATTATGCGTGTGCTTCCGTGCAATCCTATCCTATCTCCTGTATGTCAGCACCGACGTCAGTCTGTTTGGAAAAATGCTGATGTCCACTCGTTCCCGGATCATCCTGGCCGTGTACGCGGTTATCCTGCAACGGCGGTACAGTCACGGGACAACCGACGCTTTCTTCCCGGAGGCCATGGTGCTGGAAGGCTTGGGGTTGACCGACGTGGCTGCTGCCAACGGTTCTGTATCCAACAACGACCTGCAAGACCACAACGAAACGTCAACTGAGACGGACACAGGAGATTTGAACGACGCTCTCATGACGATGACCTTTCACAGGTTTGTTGACCTCGACCCAAACCCAGGACAACAGCTGTGCTGTTTTGTTTTTCCTGCCTTACCTTATCTCCTTTGACAGTAGCCTGTTCAGATAAAAAAATCCCTAAAATTCCATATCCCTAGCTCAAAGCGCCAAGTAAGTCTTAGCCATATGAATCTTGAGTTTGATGTAAAAACTGAGTAGGAGGTATTGGTTCTGATAATGACATGGCAAAGGTTAAAAGGCGGGTTTCTTTTTTTTTGTGTCTATTTTACTGTACAATATATGTAAGCAAATTATTTAAACGTTTTGCTCGTAGTACTCGTTTAAAACTGAGACGGTGAGACGAAGTAGGTGAGAAAAAGCCGAAAAGTACAATCACTGTAAAAGGCTTGGCCACTGGAAAAGCGACTGCTTGGTGTTCGGGTAGGAACGAAAATCAAATAAATCAGCGACCACATGACAAGTCGACTGGAATGGCTCAATGTGTGTAGGAGATGATAAAAATAATATGGCGACTAGAAAAGGTAATGCAAACATTTTATTAACATAAGAGTTGTATGGAGATTTTTTAGTGGTGTGCCGCACTTTTTATGTTAAAAACGATTATGATTTTCGTCTATTTATTTACTATTCCCAGCTTATGTGTTTAAATTTCATCTACAGAGAAACCTAACATCAGAACAATTTTTACCTAAATTATTTTCCCGTTCAATGGCCAAAGAGCTACTACTACTGACTAATATTATTGCTACCGTTAACTCTATTGTCATCTCCTTCTTGTTTAGTCTGAAATACAATTTTTAAATGTTTTATGTACAAACTTTATTAAAAAAAAATCCAGTAGAACTCTTATGTTAATAAAATGTTGGAACACAGTAATATTTCTGCCTTCTCCTAAACACTTATATAAAGTAAAAAAAAAACCCTGGAGTTCAATTCAGAACCTCAAAAGCGGTGTAGGAGTACATTTTTAGAATAATCGGTTGAACAATTTTTCATTTTACAACAATCAGTTAATTTTGCTGCTTTAAATAACTTAAGTATTTAGCCCAGGTCGTTTAATTTATCGAATGTACTGGCTATTGACATTTGAATTTATATATATATATATATATATATATATATCATAATAATACAGGAAATATATAATTTAAAATTGAGTGTACAGTAATGATGTTGTTGTACACAGTCAAGCCATTCTATTGTCGAAAACGACAACAACAAACATACATTCAAAAGAGGTAAAATACGGATATAATAGGGTTGGCTGTACAATGTGTAAAAAGAGGGTATAGGCACAAAATGCCCCAGTTGAGTTCACTTGGGAGAAAAAAATACATAAAAGACTATCCTAAAATGCAATTAAATTGTAATAGTTTATGCTTTGCAAAGAACTGAGGGCTTTACGAATTAATGTCTTTAACTACAGCCGTCAATACACAGCAACCGAATTTCTACAACTTTTTTTTATTATTTTCAGTATTTTTTTAATGCTTCAAAATAGTCTCGTAAATAGTTATACGATTTTTTCCCCCTCAATACAACAAATTTCTAGTTGTAGTTAATTCTTATTTTTTTAAAATTAAAATTTAAAAAATAATAGGCATCTATGTGAATTATTTTATTAAAAAAAAAATTAGTTTGAACAAATATTTTAATATATACCTTATAAAGGAGTTCGACAGTAACATTATTTTATTTTCATGATATACATAACATGTATTAATTATTCAAAGCTTATTTATTGATCAGTTTTATTAACCACGCACAAAGCTTTTAATTAAAATTTCCAAATCCCAGTGTAAACTTAGCAGCGACTTAAAAGCAAATGTAATTAGAACATCACGGAATTGGCCAAATTTCCAAAATGTGGAGATTACTTTGATAATACTGCCTGCCATGACTTTGACGAATATTCGAAATAATAATAATATTGTTATCGTCGACGTACAAAGGATCAATTGAAACGGTATAGCCACCAATGGATGTCACGCTTTGGTCGTTTGGAGCTTGTCATCTCGTTTGGAATTAACCTGTGTTTAATTATTGATGTTATATCAAGGCCAGTTCAAAGGACAATTCATATGCTTGATTTCAAAAATTGTTTACTTTTGGGCAAAAGGCAAGCTTACTGGGCATGCCAGTAAGCACACCCGGTACACACTGCAGATTGATGAAATGAGTCCATCAACATTGGGTTTTGTTAATTAATTTTGTGTGCAGATTATACTTTCACGTTAAAAAAAAAAAAACGAATTAACGGTTTGATATAATTTTGTGTGTTTTGTTAATTAACGGATCTTAAAACGGATTTGCAGAGAGAAGATGCAAGATTATCTTTGTCGACAGTACGTGGCCGAAGAGATATTGCAAGGCATTGCGGGTAACGCCGAGTCGGAGAGCCGGTCGATATCCACGGGTTACGGATCAAGTAAATCTTCCGTAATGCGTATGGATCAAGGGTCTTCTGCGTACAACAGGTGGTTGAACAAGTAAGTTCAGAGAAAATCGACGAAGCCCGGTACAGATCAAGTACAAGTTGTGTTATTTCATGTATTATTGCTTTTACCCGTGGGGTTTATGTGATTTTTTTTATCACTTTTCTCTTTCCAATATCAAGACCCACCACTTTTCCTTACCCCAGTGTGTTAACTGGCCTCGACCCCACTGCAGTACTGTTTTTAAATAGTTGTTGCAATGTCGTCGTTACACTTTTTTTTAGAGCTCAAATAATGAAAAAAATATACGACGATTACGATTTGAACATCAGAATGCACGAACAACCGGAAGGGTTCAAGTTCAAACTGAAAAATTACAACGAGGGTGAGAGAAACGTTCCGTTGTTAAGTGGAAAAGTTTTTATAGACTTTCAACATTTCTATACTTATGGCACTATTTGGTATAATGTAATAACTTTGTTTATTATTTTCAGGTTTACAAAATGTCGGGTCCGCAAACCGTACGACCAACACGGACGATTCGAGAAAAGACTTCTATCCGTACGAAGGTAGGATTTTGATAACTATAGTTTTAGTATTATTACTACTATTCACCGTATTAGTGTTGTCGCACTTTAAAAATCACAGACCAAAAAGTAACGGAAAGACGAAGCAATTAAAACGGAGTCTTATCAGAACGTGACATAATGATATATGACCTTAATATTGTGACAATTATTATACTAACCCGCATTAGTCCCGCCCAGTGCACGTCCGAGTGCGTTATATTATAATTTTGCTTGTATTAAAACCAGAACACAAAATACAATTATTAGGCTTGTTATTATATGGTACGGCTGTACCATGTAGAAGATACCATGTAGGTTGGGTTGGGTTTAGGTTAGGTTTGGGTTAGGGTTAGGTTAGGTTTAGGTTTTTTGTTGAATTTGCTTAATCGCCATTTTTAATAACAATTCGCTAGTATTTTTACCAATAAATAAAATATCCATCAATAAATAGGTAAAATGGGGTTAAAAAAAATTATAATAATATATTATAATATGTCTAATATAAAATATACATTTGTCGTTTTATTCCATTTTACTCGTGCTAACTGAATAACGGGTTTTTTTAGTTCTTAAAAGTCGTAAGATTATTTTCAATAACGGAGTATAATTTATTTCAAAATCATACAAACTATAGCTGTTACGAAGTCCGAACTAAATTAAAAGTTAATAGGTGTGCCGAGACTTTTTAGGGTGAATCGATTAATTATTTTCACAACAGCCAGGTTAGGTTAGGTTGGGGCCAGCTTAAGTAGTGTTTATTTTTTTTTGTGATCTTATCACCGTCAAAGTCTTAATCAAATAATCGCGTTATAATCATTCGTACGTTACCTATGTAATATTATTGTTTTAGACAATATTTTGAGCCCGAGCAACTCCGTGGACTTTGTGCAGAGCCATTCCATATCGTTCGACGACACTGGCAACGGTACCAACACTGCGGAACGCATGCAGCCTTCGCCTAACGTACCACCGGTTTATTATGGTCCTCCGCAAGTGCCGCCAATGTCGTACGAACCGTCGCCCAACATGCCTTACGGTTATCCGGCCGTGATGCCTAACAATTATAACGGTTATTACGGGCCGCCAAATCTACAACCGCCAGCCGCCACCGTGCTGCCTAGTTTGACTAGTCCGAGTAGGTGATATTATTTATGCACGATTACAACGTTTTTCAAAAAACACAGCACGTCGTTTGTTATGAAATATATAGAATAGATACAATACCGCGGCAAAGGACACGTATAACACTACAAAAGTAATAACAACTGTTGTGCTGTTTCTGTCTCAGCTCCGGTCGGTACAACAAGCAATGTGGAAACCCTGAGCGACGATTCCGAGCAATCGAACGAAGACGATAACGGCGGAATAAGACGCGGACTCACGGCGACCGACTTGTACGACCTCGTCCTAACGGCTATAGCGTTTTTGGGATTCGGCACGTTCGTTATGAATTTAGTCATGGACGCGATGACCGTGAGTTTTCATTTGCAAAACATTTCGGTTGTTCTCGTCTCAAAGTGTGTTCGAACGCGTTACAGACACAGTCCGGTGCAACGTTAATGATGAGCTCCGCGCCGCTTCTCGGCGCCTCGGTGTCCAGGGATGGCAGACAGTTAAATCCGCCCATATTGGAAATTGATGAATTGGCCTGGACCGTTGCGAAAGGCTTAGACAATTTAATTGCATCGGTCGACGGTAAAGCCGTGGACTGCGGATTAGCCAAAAAGTTGTGTGTAAAATCCAAAAAGCTCATTAAGACCGGCACGAACTTCAGCACTACGCTGTTACCCGCATGGAAGTGAGTAGCGTTGACTTGAGCTTTTTTTTACTTTGCGCAATGCCCAAGGTAAACGCATTGTCTAAGATCGGTGCAAAGTCTGTACACTTGTCTTTTGTCGAAACATGTGTTATCGTTATAACGGTTTTATTTTACAGTGTCGCTTTGGGCTGGCTTTCGAATAGACTAGGAAGAGACACGAGACAACCGGTTATAATGGCATTTTTAGAACAATGTTCCTTGCCTTTACAGTGTCAACGGAATGCATTTAAATGAAAATTACTAATCTAATATTCTTCTTTGTGAGTAATGAAAATAAGTAAACAACTTTTGTGTGGATAATATATTATATGTATTTCTTGGTAAACACATGTCTTTTACGACTCTAAAAAAACATTATTGTCATTACTTTGTAACAATTTATTTGTTTTAAATATTTTGATTGATTTGTTATGAAAAAAAAAACTGTGTTTTTTTCCCTAATGTATTAACTGTTGCTTTTACTGTGGTCACGTTATTTTACTCGAGCTGTTATTGGACGTTGCCAGCTGTATTTTTGGGTGTACTTAAAAATGTCATTTTAAAACTTATAATAAACGAAAAAAAAAAACGCGTTTTTGGGCCTTTTGTTAGGAATGTGTTTTTAAAAGAATGCCTTAATGGAAAAACATTTGTCCCGCACACTTTTCTCGAGAACAGTTTGTCCCCCCAGTGTACTTATACACATCCTGTTTTATGAGCTCTTAGGCTTACCTAAGTTTGTGTCTCTTGTGTGCAGTCACAGTTCCCGGACACGAAAACAATATTGTATGGTACAGCTTATACTTTGGTCCCATTCGTCATGTTATTTGTGTTTTAGCTCATTTGGTAGGTCACTTGGAATAATATTATTCATTCCTGTTATTGTCATTGTATTAATATTAAACATTACAAAACGTGAAAAAAAAAAAAAAGGAAACCTAATTCTTTATTGAAATTTATTCCAATTGGAATATTCCAACTTTATTTTTGAGTCAACACCTTTTTTTTTTTTTTTGGGGGGGGGGGAGGAGGAATGTAAAACGTGACTGCAAAATATTGTAAGTAGGTATATATTTGTCTGTGTTTAAAGCCTATCTACTTACCGTCTTGGTTGTTTGACCTTCGGCGGTAATTTTCAAAAATGAAATATATATATATATATTCTGATCATGATTTTGTTTCACGAGTTTACCTTGTGTACTTATCGAAATATTTATACATTTGTATTTATTAGGTGCCTCGTTATTCCTCGGAGAGCAGTTTAAAATATTCAGTTCAATTTGTACAGGCAAACACCGTTGGAATTTTGATGGATACAACAATTTTTTTTTTTTTTTTACACGCTTTGCAGTTAATTTAAAGTTTCGAATATATTGAATTATTTTTTCCTAAATTTCAACACATCAGAAACTCGTACTTGGGCGTTTTTCAATTTTGGCGATTGTTAATATAATACAACATTCGATAATAATGTGAACTTTATTCGAACAAGAATTATGTTACATCTCATAAGCTTCACTCTTGTCTCGAGTAAACGGATTATGTCACACTAAAACGACACGTTAAATCGAAGTGGACATATTTTGAGATAATCAAATTCGCAAACGTTTTAATGGCGATAATACGCGGAAATCGTTTATTTTGAATTCTGTCGCTAAAAGTGTCGAAGATAAAATCCTAATGGGTTCTCGTGCGGATATGTTGACAGTTTATTTGTTTGCGGATAAATTTAAGACCTAAACTTAGATCTCACCCGCGAATTTGGCGAGAAATGCCAAAAAAAAAAGATTGTCTGACAAAAATTAATTTTTAACAAAAAACCTCATTGGCGTAAGTGCGCTTTTACCAAACCGTGGCCTACATTGTGCCGTACGAATTGTACGCTATTTTATGATGTTGCATTTATTATAAATTCGACGGTTGATTGTAATACGAAAATCTCGATTGATTTTTTAGGTAGTCGTTTCTTGAAAGTAGTTTCGACGAGCAATAACAAATATCTCGCCAAATAAACGAACACAAAAATGACAAAGGAACCACCAAAATCGTCCTCATGGCTTTTCTTCCTTTCGACAAAAGCGAAGGAGAAATATGATCTATGTATTTTTTTTTTTTCGAGATAAAATAAACTAGAATTATGTATAATATTGCTAATGTTTGAAATTTGAGCTTTTCCCATCTTCAAACTCTAGGAAGAGATTTTTTTATCAGTATTTACAAGCAGACCATATTAGCTAAATTTATGGGTTTCAAACCACTTTGTGGCATCTCTCGAGAAAAGTGATCTATTTGTTGTTGTCGTCAAACATTTTGTGCCAAACAAATTATTATACACTCTTATGCCACGTTTATTTCTTTGTACTATGGGACTTGTGTCGAAATTGAAACATAGCCTTCTTCCGGGCACACAATTATATTATTTCCCGTCGGTCTTTCGGGAATTGGGACGTATCGCTGTGCTATAACCTAAAAGCTGCTTGTCGAAAAACGTTATTATCCGCCGCCAGACCCGAGAGGATATCACTGGAAATTCGTTCTAGTGTCACAGGATAACATAATATAAAGTGTCACCACGTGTCCTCCGACGTCGGACGACTACATCCAATTTCGGCTGATTAATCGTTTGCCGGTGTCGTCGATATTTCCAGCAAAAATGTCCACATAAACAATAATAATGAAATACGTTTATACCTTATTTTAATTTTTAGCTCGAGAGCCGTTTAAAAGGCCACAAATCCGAAAACGTTCACCGTTTCGAGTACCCAGAAAAACGCCCAAAATATTAACATATTGTTTTTCAACAACAAATTATATAATTTTCAAAAATAGACCAGTTAGTTCCATTTTAGTACGGGATATATTTCTAGAACATAGCTCTACTGATATTCTCTGACAAACCAAAAAAAAAAAAATCAAAAGCTCAAAGGGGTGGAAATAGTTTTTTATTGCTCTATTTCGAGTAGGTCTCAAAATAAAACTTAATGTAGATCTAGAATGGGGTAGGTCTGTAACATAATAAATTGTATACACGTTATATAAATGTATATACTATATGTATAAAATTACAACAAGTCAAATGCATTTCTGTGTTAACTTTAAGTATAAGTTATTTTGTGAACGGTCAAAACAAGTGAAGTCAATATTTTTCCATTTGAGGTCATAACATAACAATAAAAAATACTTAAAATTTGAAATTTTTGTTTCTAATAATTCCGTACGGCAAAAACAACAAATTAACTTTCTTGGGAAAAATAATTATGAACTTGAAATGTTCTTTCTAGAAAGTTTATGACTTTATAAAGTTATATATTTTTCGACGTTTCACTCGACTGTGTCGGTATGAATAATGGTTGAAAAATACACAACAAAAAAATGGGGTTTTTTTCAAACTCGGGATAATCCAATTGGGCGACAAAAAAAAAAAAAAAGAAAAGATTACCTAGCTTGAAAATTGATTCGTAAAACGTACCGTACTCGAGACCATGGCTTTTTATACGTGTTTTTTTTATATATTATGTTATAACGTTAATAACGCCGGTAATGGAAAGGTCCAAGTCGACGTGCTGCGTATGTCATACATTCGACACTGTTTTCACAAGTGTGTATTAACCGTGACACTATTTTGCTTGTCGCTCGAAGAAACTCGTATATATTATCGTCTCACACAATATCTCTAACACACTAATCCCACTGTGCTCGTGTCGTTCGATATCCGCCTACTGTAAACTCTGCGTATCTTTTTGTTGCCGATTAAACCTTTTTCACTCTTCCTTTTTTTTTTTTGTCATCTCAGAAGGTTTGTCTTTCAACGTAATCTCAAGAGCGAGCTAAACAAAGCGTTACTTTTCCTTTTCAACGGAAACAGGGAAAAACAGCCATGTACGAACCAATTCCCCGAGAGTGATGTACTTGAGTCCGTTGCTAGTATGGCAGCATTGTCTGCTAAAGGATGATTTTTGGAGTAATACCATTCAATTAAACAGTGAACAATCAGGATAAAAATTTAGGTATGTCCCTCCCCCCCCCCCACATTAGTACTTCACTGCCGGGGAATGTTTAGAAGAAGGCAATTTTAAAGTTGATAACCTAGCTACATTCTTTCCAAACCCAACCGTTACGTTGACTTTGTCCGGGAACAGTTTAGTGTCAGTAAAAAATGTCACTGTAGGGTGGATTTCACTCAACCCGCTCCCTAGTCAATCATAAGTAATTTTATTCTAAATGTACATTAAGAATATTATTATAACTATTAGAATATATTTTGAATGCAACGTTTTCCTTACCGCGTTACCACCAAGACGATAACAGTTTCCATAGAAATTATCACAGCCCTGACGTCCTTTTGTTGAGAACTGTCAAAATGTCAATACTATAAGTGAATGACTAATTTACAAGCCGGCGCCTATACTGGCCCAACTTTTACGTCAAACGCAACAACATTAGATACAAATTTTCCATTGTGTTTTTGATCGAATGGCCGACAAACGATCGACGGTGGAGGGCTTTAGGATAGGAAATAGGAAGCGGCAAATAATGTTGTGTGTTTTTGCAATCTCGAGGGGCGATAGAGCATCTGCCATAGGTTTCCAAACAATAATATTCGCCGTTCGTGTCGATGATAAGCTCTCACGTCTCGTCAACTCCCCACTGAGACGACCCAAGGATTTAGTTCCACAATAGTACACAGCTCGCTTGTTCATTGGCGCTGTTGAACGTCGTTTAACCTGAACTACTGGGAATGTCTGCAAAGCCACCCCGGCTATAATAATAGCAAGATTAATCTCGCACTGTTGACCGGTCATAAAAAACTCCTTCAGATTTCTCACTGAGAGAAACGTGCAATGGACAACGTTTTATTTAAATGGACGCTTAAACGCGAAATCATTTACCAGTGTCTAACGGATTTATCGAGAAAAAAAAAAACTAGCATTTTTGGGAAAAGGGTTTTTAATATTTGTTTGGTTTGTCATGGTGTGTGCATTGGCACTATGCATAAAAAAATATTCCATACAAATTTGAATTAATTCGATTATTTTTAATAAAGCTGCAGCACGTCACGCAATTTTAAGATTAAAAAATATGCATATTTGTTGAGTGTTTTGCCCTTTCTGAAATGGGAAGGGGTAAACTTTTAAAATTTTGGTTCATTAAAATAATTTCCCGGTAGGATAGACTAGTTACATGAAAAACAGTTCAGCAGCTAAGGATCCAGACTAAAAAAAACATCATTGTACAAACAATACCGGCTTAGCTTCGCATCGTAGCTAAAACTATTAACCTTTAGAGGACGTCGAACCATTTAAATTATTAAGGTGTACTAAAGTATAGGTATCAAATATTTAAAAAATATTAAAAATTCTATCATATAACACACCTATAACATACATATTTTCATTTTAAAATGGTTTGGCTCAAGTTTGTGCCACATGATATGCCGGCCATTAGTAGATGGAAAACTAATTTTAGTGTTGCATATAAATTCAACAGGTTTTTTTTTTTGATGATCTCATAAATATCGTTATCATTTCAATATGATCGTTTTATCGAACTGGATAATATGATAACAGGTATTATTATCATATGTGTACATTTGATCTATACCTACTGTTACATAAATGAACGGGCAGTGTAGGAAATGAACGCAATGAAAAACAAATGATTGTCTAAATATTTCATATGCATTGACATATTTTAACGACTAACGTTATGCGTTTGATGGACGATGGCTGTATAAATAATTAGTTTAATATTATTTATTATTTTCTACAACAATAGGTAGTGTTGACAAAAACGTATCCACGAGTTATATGCACACGTTTACAACAATAGTAGAAATATACAATGTACAATAAATTATTACTAAAATCATGTATAATTTATTACTGCGCTTGAATCGTCGGGCAATATTTTATAATTATTCATGAAATTTAACATATAGTAATTTATATTTTTAGTTATTATTTTAATAATAGTTTTATTACAATACACGGTGGCTTTCAATAGTGTTTTTATGATTGATGCAATGCAGTTGTAGCTAATTTTTATCATTTAATATATAAATTTGTTTTGATAGGGCAACTATGTCAGGCAATATTTCATGCGTTTTGGGAGTGAAATTTTTATGAAAATTTAATTAATTTGACTTTATAGTTATAGCCGCGAAACAATAGGTCCTCTCCGCGGCCTACAAGCATAGTTATAAATGTATAAACCTTAAATTGAGTTTGCGCTAATTATTAAATAAATAAGCAAAGCTGTTCTATCCAAACACTATTTTACTTGGTGAAAAATTTACTATATTTTAATTATGATCAATACTTTATTAAGTTATTACTATAGTATTAAGTGTAATTTTCAGAGATATGCTCGATAAAGCGAAATAAAGAAAAAACGTCCACCCCTTTAAGGATAGTTTTGTGGCACACAAACTAAAAAATTGACCTTACTGCTTTAAAAAACTGTAATAGCGTGCCATAGTCTTAAGTCGAAAAATATGTAAATTTCTAGGGCGTTTTGTTCGATGTTGAAGGGAAAGGGGTGAACTTTTTATATTTGTTATCAAACAAAAACACAGGCACAAAAATAAAAACACATCATTGTAAAAACAATGCCTTTTCATCCTTCGGCATTGAGGCTAGTAATAGTTATTATGTTTATTTTGATTTTTTTTTTTTTACCAAGCGGATATCCGTCGGCTCATAAATAATAAATTACGCGTTTATAAATAAAAATATAGTTATAATAAATATCGTTTCTAGCAGTGTTAGTTTATATTATAATTATTACCTTATTTGTTTTGGACGGCTGCCCCGTTTTTTCGACACTTGTAAACAAAATTAATAGTATAGACCTAGCAATAAATTAATATTAGCCCAAGCGTTTTTCAATAGGAATTTCATAGTTATACACCCTTAGGTAGGTAAAAATTGTATTCAAGTTAGACAACCATTTTGGCCGGATCGACCAAATGGCGAAATTAGCGGTACAGCATAAGGCATCCTAATGGAAATGTATTTAGCGGGTATGTCTAGGCAGTGCACTAATGTTGTTACTATCAGTTTACTAACTAAAGCGACCGAACATTAATGCACTGCGACAGATGTCAGGAAGAAAACCCATTTTTAAAAGTATTTTGTACATTTTTTTTTTTTTTTTAATTCAATTCTAATGAAATACTATGTTGGCTTAAGAGACAGAATCGTGGATCTAGATAATATCTTGGATAATTATAGTATATTTAGGTCCTTTAAAGACAATAAACTAATAAACTTGCGTTGTTACTTAAGCGTAATGTTCGGTCAAAGGTTTTTACTCTTGACCAGTTACAGTTTCCCTCTGTTGCCCGTGGGATGATAGGTAAATGTCTAAGGGAAGAAACTGCTCCAAATTTTTTACGGGAGACCTTCACTTGTTATTGCTGAATCCTAAAAATAAACACTCCGTCTAAGGTCTAATTGGCAATAAAAAGCAAATGTCAAGAAGACTAAATCCCGGAATAGATTTTCCCTCAACCTGGTGGGTAATTGCATTCTTGTACAACAACATAATCAATAAAGCAAACGGTAGTTAGTCGAATTTCAAACTAAGTGTAATACATACAAATATTTTCTTCGCAGTTTTTTAGAAAACCAGACCGCTTCGTCAGAATGATTTCGTTTAAAATGCAATAATATAGACATCTTAGAAGTGTTGGCAGCGATTCAGAAAAATATTTGATTTTAAAAAGCTCGAATTTGATGATTTGCCAACAGGAGAGAAAAAAAGTATGAAATCTTTCACTTCAAACACTTAGGTCGGTTTATGCAAATGACACTATAAACGCTTTTGATAAAAATACAGATGTTTATAAATATCTACAGGGTGTATTCTAAAAGATGTGTAAATAAGTTGTGAATTAATCATTAATCCTATTTTTGGGTTTCCAAAAATACCTAAACCATATTTTAACAATTCCTAAAAATAATTAGGCGGATATATGATGATTTATAATTAAAAAAACAACCGAAGCTCTAGAACTGCTCCAGCTTTTGGTATTGAAACTTTTAGTCGTACATACATATTATTATTTTTATGCCATTTTGCTTATGAGTAAGTCTATACTAAACGCGAATGTAAATCTCAAACGGTGAAGTCAAGGAAAACCGCTTTAGTCAGATTCTGATTATCCGAAATTGAATTTAAGTTTCACCGGCTGGAATATGTTAACCGAGTATAATTTATACTATTTATGATAGCGGTTTGAAGAGAGTGTAATATTGCTGGTGTTTATGGTTTTTGGTCAAAAGCTGATGTACATATGTTAACTACTGTATTCATAGCTTTGATATTAATTTGAAAAGTGTTTGGGTGGACATTTCTGCTTTTTAACTGGCCGTTTTAGAACGTGGCTGAAAATTGGGATTTCACACTTGCATAAGATAGCGTTCTCGGTGAGTGACCAAATGTTGGGTGGATATGTTTAGACTGTTTTTCTTAAATCCCCTGACGGTTCGACCTGCAACAATGGACAGGGTGAATTATTCATCCCTCATACGTAAAATAAAGTACGGTCTTCGTTTTCAAACGGAACAATGTGTTTTTAATTCTATAAACATATAGGCAAAACACATTTTTTTAAAAATGTTATCGTTTGAATTTTTAATTTTTCATCAAAACAAGAGTTTTAAGTACAAGGGATAAGGGTAAAAAATGACACGGCGAACGTCTCGGACAGATCTTGCTTGAATTCGACGGATCGTCCTGTACATGTGTATATATTATATGAACAAAACCTAAGCCCTGCGGCCGACAACCGTATGCGCGCCGGCCCTTTACGCGGCGTGTGCCCAGGCGGTTCGCCCTGGCAGTGGCGGTTCGCAGTCAGTCGGTGCGGCAGCTTATCGTCAGACGGTCGTTGGCGCTGGGGTGTGTTCCGGCCGTCAAAACACACAGTGTGCGTGGTCCGTGCGCGACGATGACTCAGCCGGTCACGATGGTCGCCGTCGCGGTGCTTTTGCTCTTGTCCCGCATGAGTTCATCGTAAGTCGTTTTGAATTATGTAAATTATTTATGAAAAAAAAATTTTGAAATTTAAAAAAAAAATCTCCCAAATTTTGCCCCCCTCCCCCCCCGTTCAACTTTAAGACGGTCCGTGTTGGGGGTAGACGGTCATTGGTGTCGATTTTCCCGAGGAGTAAAGGTCGTGCCCGTTTGGTAAAAAAAAAAAAAAATATTTATTAAAAAAAAGAAAATCACGGTGCGCGGTCGGAATGGCGTGATTTCACCCTTAAATAGTATACTGTTATTACCCGTTGTATGAAAAACCATGTTAAAAATCATGTACATTCCGTACAAGGTGATTCGTTAAGGACGAGACAACGATTTTGACATTGCAGTTATGGAGATTTTTTTTTTTTGTTGAAAACATTTTTATTCGTGTTTTTTACAGTATGTATTGTAAAATCATTAAATATCTGCATATCTACATTTTTTTTTTTTTTAGTATTTTCCAGAGCTTCATCAACTATTAAAAACGTAACTTAATAATTAAATTAAAAATAAATTTATCAACGTTTTTGACTCGGTTATTAACCAATTTCGGATAATTATACTTTCAGAGGTTATAAGAGTTAAACATTTTAGGACGGTAGATAGAGTGTGGCATAAGGTAATGCGCACAGATATAGCAACACTACTATTAATTATTAATAATACTAATTTTCTGGCAAACTATTCTTACCATTTGAGATTTAAAAGTTGAAAGAGCACTTTGAAAATACATACTAAAAATAAAAAAAAAATGGTAAATTTATGTAACTTTATAGTATTGTAAAATAACGTGAACAAAAATGTTTTCAAAAAGAAAAACTAAAACATTGCAATCATTTCCCAAAAAAATTGAGTGTTTTCCGTTAGCTCGATCACCCTGTATAATTAATTTTTAACAATAACTGTAATTGAACTACACAACGGTCGTGCCAGTCTGATGAAGTAATCACGTTAAAACGATTTCAGCATACAGAACAATTTTTTTAAAATAAGTATTACTCGAAATTTGTTTTTCCGTAGACTTCAAATTTCCATAAAAATATTTTACCTATTTTTTTTTTTACTTACATTATATTTAATTTCGTTTTCACGAACATGTCTTGTTCAAAAGTTGTATTACGAGCGTTTTTCATATGCATTGTATTCAATAGGTGTGTATTATAATTTTATGTTGTAGTAAGTACCTCTAATAGCATTACCTAAATGAAAATATAGTTAATTCAATAAAAAATAAAAGGGTTTTGTTCAAACGCATTGTTCTTAAGACAAACCATGGCAGCTTACACAATTCAAGGAAAAGTACAACTATCACATCATAACGATGATATAATTTAAATTTTCACTTTTTTTTTAATTCAGCTGTAGTGAGTGATATGTGATATGATTTTACGGGGACTGTTAAATCCCAACAATCGGCTTTGGGCCATTTTTTTTCTGGCCTATTTGCACGGTTTAATGCATCGACCTTCAGTGTATTTCCAATCCGATTAATCCCATAGCTTCGAATTGAACGCAAATAGCTAATTACGCATTACCCACGGTCGAATTACAAATATTGTTTGACGGGTCCTTGGCAATCGTTATGACATAACATTGTTATTATTATTATTATTATTATCGTGACAGTGAATTCGATGCGGAATCGTGTCCATGGTAAACTCAAACAACTATTATACGTCTTCTGTGTTACCCTGTTGCCCGTTTAAGATGTTTTGAAGCCAGCGTTATGTCGATTATTATTAACGATGGTAGGTCAGCACTTGGCGACGGTATCGTACTTACACTAACATTGTCAGTTCAAATAAACGATGTTGTACAAACTTAACCGGCTTAGCCGGCAATGTGGTACGTAGTCAAGTCTTACACAATAATTATCCTACCGACTGCGCCATGTTAAGGTCTTGGGTATTAGTAATTAAGCAACATATATTATTACTTCTTAACTTACACTTTTATAGGATAAGGTTGATGCGCTTGTGAAGAAAAAACTGTCCCCCTAACTACCTACCTTGCCGACATCACTATACGACTTAACACGAGTAAAAAAAAAAAAAATAGCAGAATCTCGAGTCGACCCCGTGTAGTGATACATAAATAACGTTTTTAATCAAGTTTCCTATCAACGAAACTCCAAGTCAACTCATATATACATTTTACAATTCTCGTGTTGGCCTTAACCTTCTTGTTCCTTTGGCCAAACTACTTGATTTATCCGTTCACGTGCCAGCACTGCATCCAAGTTTCAAAACCGCACACGCGCCATCTTTTAAGGATTTCAAAGTACTCTAGTCAATTATTACCTGTCTATGGGTTGTCTAAAACTTACTAATAACTAAAAACGTTTACCCTATCGAAATGCTTACATTATATTTTATTTCCTAGTAAAAAAAAAATGTTTATTTAAATTTCGATATAACTTCGAGTAGATGTTTTAAACCAAAAAGACTTGAGGTTTTAATTATTAAAGTTTTCAACATTAATTCGATTTACTGAAAGTTTGTGAAAATTATTTATCAATGTATGGTTTGGTTTTGTATAAAATCATTATCAGACGAAACACTGGAAATTCTCAGAAAACTAATAGTTGTTATAACACAAGAAATAGGTTAATTTTCTCTACACAAGATTGTTTTATTTATAAGAAATATTTTGTTGTGTTGATGTTTTATGTAAGTACTGCGATGCTACGAGGCAAGTGTAAAAACTTTTTTAAATAAAAATAATCAACAATTATTTTTCAATATCAGTCCACAGAAGCAAATAAGATACAATGATGTTATATATATATATATATATATATATACATTTGCTCCACTTAAAACTTCTGGTATTATTATAAAAATACAAACAACTACCAATTTAATTCCAAGCTGTTGATTGAAACTTGAAAATGTAAACACTTGTAATGCAATACAAAAAGAAACACACTTCGTTTGATTGGCTAGTAGTAAGTGCGTATGAAACTAATACTATTCTAAGAATAGTATGGACATTTTTTAAAAATTATTACTTTTAATATAACTTTTTAGTTACAGTTACTATAATTTTTGCTATATTTGGTAAATGTAAATTATTTTTTTTTTGTTATGTACTGTGATAACTCATGTTGCTATAGTATATCATGGAATTTTTGTGTTTTTTATTATATTAAAAATATTTTACCTTTCATTCCGTCGACCGGTCTCGCTTTTTTTTTTAATGGTTTCTTTTAAATGTGTTCATCGTTTGACCGAAAAATGTATAATATTATTATTACATTTATGCAGATCAAAGTATAAAATAAATTCCTTTCTTCGTCGACGGCGAGGACAATACTTGCGGTAATAAATCATATATAAATTAAAAATGTTTGCTAGAAAGAAACATTCAAGTGAGACGGAGAATGGGTAAAATTATACAGCATAAAATCTTACACAAGCCGTCTGATGTAAGACACTCATTTTGTACATTCAACATTTGGAACATTTGGTCTATTTTTATTTTTTATAATCTTACATCTAGATCCAAGATATCATCTTCCCAACAGCTGACCGATTCCTTCATGTAGCAAGTCCATAAAACTGTGCCGGAAAGGTACATTATGGGGCAACTAACTTTAAAAGTACAGGTTTGGTGGCATAATAATATTCCTGTATTTTGTAAGATACCAAAACCTTCTAGAATGTTAGCAGTGGTACTCATCGTTCCGCCTTCTTTTCCAGCCGGCGGTTATTGTGTGTAATTTAATTACAATAAAAGCTACACACGCACAGTAGGTACCATAGCAATATAGGTGTATAAGACACAATATACTTATATAGATAATCGCACGTGCTTTGTATGGCGTACGTCGGTGGATGTAATAAAAATAAAGGGACCTATCTGTTGTAGTATGTACATACATAAAGTACAAGTACCTAATAATTATAGTCGACTTTTGGCCGTTGTTCAGCCTGAAAAATAATTTTAAAAAATCATAATAAACATTTGAACGATGTCAAACGGTAAAAATCATTAACAATTTGTATGCAGTCGTGTAACGTGTACACTTATAATGTCCATTTTAAATAAACCCAGGCCAGAGACTGAGATTGAATTTAATTAAAATACCCACGTTGGCTACTGTTGAGCGAAGATAATTTTTTTTTTTCAACACTCGACCTTTTTAAATTGTACACATTTTGTATAAGTAGGTACATTAATAAAAAATACAAATGTAGAATTCATGGATTACAATATATATATATATATATATAGCTGTTGTATAGGCCTGGCAACTGATTTGAAAATAATTTTTTTTTGGGCGTAGACGAATTATTATAAAATGTTTTATTCATGCGCGTTTTGACAAATGCAATAACATATTTTCACAGGATACAATAATATATCCGAATGAATGCCGTCTAGAGAAAACTGTATACATTTTTTTCTTCCGCAAATAACACATAACGTTGTATGGATTTAATTTTCGATTTAAAAACATGTTTTCTTAAAAAATAAGAAAACCGCAGCACCAAGCACTTGGCGTGCCGTTTAAAATTAAACTTTTTCGGTTTCTCCACGTGCTCGCATACTTTCACACAATACCTTATACCGCATACTTGAGATATTGATTTGGAAAAATTTCAAAAAATGATTTTTCTCAGAAAACGTTTTATCGTTTAGACTATAATTTATGCGAGCCCGGTTTTCTTTGTATGCAGGTACATTACATTAACAAGACGGATCGGTTAGATTAGGTTTTTCATTCATTATTTCCTAATCTAATACACCGTCCTCCGTCCTAGTCTTTATCTCTGCTTTGATACCTTCGACTTTTTTTTTTATATCAATTTATAGTTTTTAATAATTTTTTTTTTTTTTTATATATTCTTTCATCGTTATTGTCAGCACAACTATCGAACTATACTTAAATTCTCATCTCGGCCAATCAAATGTCAGTAAACAATTTTTTTTATAAATTTTGCCTTTTCCACGAGAAAAAGATGTAGACATTTTCGCTCTATAATATA